TCTGTCTGAATGGCCCCAAAGAAATTGACGAGTTAATTGTTTAATATCATCACAAATTCTTTTTGAGAGATAACACGTTTGCATCGTATACGAGGGAAGTGCCGACAACACCGGTTTAACTATAATTATTCTACTTGCCAAAGATAACGATTTCGCCCTCCACCCTGATAATCTATCTCTGACCCGCTGAACCAAATAACCTTAGGTTCCAGAAGTGACACATTCGTGCAGTAAAGGTGATAGGAAAATAAACCGAGTACAAGTAATTTCCCTATAACTAGATTAGTGAGAATGCGAAATAAAAGCGGAAAAATAATACCCGAAAATTGATAACGGAGTTCAGCCAATTGTGCTTACGTCTCCGGGCTGCTGCAGATCTTTTACTAAGAGAGAAAATTTACAGGTGTTTACAAAACACTCACTACTCACAAGAAAGCTCTCTAGTATAGGAAGAAAGAAATGTTTTGGGATGATTTTGAAGCTAAATGGGTAAGGGTATTTATAGTATAAACTTAGGGACTAATCTTTGAAAATACCCTAAAGTGCAATGACTAAAGTGAATTTACCCATTCCTATTTTCAACAAACATCTACCAAAATTTTACCAAACTTTGAAAAACATTTTTCAAAGAAACATTTACCAAACTTTGAAAAAACATTTTCCAAAGTTGGTTGCCAAACTTTGAAACTTTTAACAATCTCCCACTTGAAGACTGATTTTAATATGTCTTCACACCTCGATCAATGCAGCAGCATGTCTGGTCTTGTTATTCTAGCATGCCAACTGAAGTTGAACACAACTTCAGTTTGTCCGTAGTCACCGTCTTTGTCAACATGTCTGCCGGATTTTGAGCTCCACTAATCTTTTCAAGTTTCAAAATCCCATCTTCCAGAAGAGACCGGATAAAATGATATCTCAATTGTATGTGCTTTGTCCTGGAATGAAAAGACGGATTCTTTGCTAGATGGATAGCACTTTGACTGTCGCAATTCAAGATATTGTTTTCTTGTTTCTTGCCTAACTCTTCCAAGAAACTTTGGAGCCAAACCATCTCATTGCTGGCTTCCGTAACAGCGACATATTCTGCTTCAGTTGTGGAGAGAGCAACTATCTTCTGTAGTTGAGAAACCCAACTCACTGCAGTTCCTCCTAGAGTATAGACATACCCTGTAGTGCTACTTCTGATGTCGACATTTCCGGCTAAGTCAGCATCTACATAGCCTGTCAGTATCATATCTCCACCTTTGAAACAAAGTGCTTTGTTTGTGGTACCCCGAAGATATCTGAGGATCCATTTGACTGCTTCCCAGTGTACCTTGCCCGGATTATTCATGTACATGCTAACAGCTCCCACTGCATGAGCAATATCTGGTCTGGTACAAACCATGGCATACATCAGACTTCCAATTGCTGAGGCATACGGCACCTTCACCATGTGTGCACGTTCTTCCTCCGTCTTTGGTGATTGGTCTTTGGAGAGTCTGAAATGAACACCTAAAGGTGTACTTACTGGTTTAGCATCTTGCATGTTGAACCTGGAGAGTACTTTGTTGATGTACTCAGCCTGTGATAACATCAAAGTCCCCGACTTTGTGTCTCTCTTGATCCTCATCCCAAGAATCTGCTTTGCAGTGCCCAGATCCTTCATAGCAAACTGCTTCGACAATTTTTGCTTCAAGTGTATAATCTCTTGCATGTCTGAGCCTGCAACGAGCATGTCATCAACGTACAATAATAAAATAATGAAGCTGTTGTCGAACCTCTTGATGTAGCAACAATGATCTGCTTGGCATCTGATAAAACCACTGCTACTCATGAAGCTATCGAACTTCTTGTACCACTGTCTAGGAGCTTGTTTTAAACCATACAAGCTCTTCTTCAACCTGCATACCAGGTTTTTCTTGTCTGCCTCTATGAAGCCTTCTGGCTGCCTCATATAGATTTCTTCCTCCAAATCACCATGAAGGAAAGCTGTCTTTACATCTAACTGCTCAAGATGTAAATTCTCTGCAGCTACAATTTTCAACACCAGTCTGATTGTAGACAATTTTACGACTGGAGAGAAAATTTCATTGTAGTCAATACCTTCTTTTTGCTGAAAGCCTTTGACAACCAATCTTGCTTTGTAGCGTTTGCTCCCATCGTGCTCTTCTTTGATCCTGTAAATCCACTTGTTGTGGAGCGCTTTCTTGCCTGGTGGTAATTCAGCTAATTCCCATGTCTGATTTGACATAAGCGAGTCCATCTCATCTTTCATGGAAGACTCCCACTTGACTGAATCCTCCACTTGCATTGCTTCATCATAGCACTCTGGTTCACCATTGTCAGTCAGCAACAAGTAGTGTAAAGAAGGAGAATACCGTTGGGTTGGTTTAGGAATTCTGGAGGAGCGTCTCAGTTCTGGTGTGCCTGGTTCTTCTTGAACTGCTTCAGGATTGATCTGAACATCATTTCCAGAAATCTCCTCGAACTCAGCAAATTCCTTTGTTTCAGCTTCGGTATTACTTGATTATGCGGTTGATCTATCTTTGTACATCAAATTTTCATTGAAAATGACGTCTCTACTTCTGATGATCTTCCGATTTTCATAGTCCCAAAACCGGTAACCGAACTCATCACCGCCATAACCAACAAAGGCACATTTGTTGGACTTAGCATCAAGCTTACTTCTTTCAGCAGAGTCTATGTGTACATAAGAAATACAACCAAACACTCTTAAGTGTGAAAGGTTTATTTCTTTCTTGCTCCAAACTTCCTCTGGTATTCTGCCATCCAAAGGAACTGAGGGCCCACGGTTGATCAAGTAAGCTGCAGTGTTGATTGCTTCAGCCCATAGAAATTTGGGCAAGCCGGCATGTATCCTCATACTTCTGGCACGTTCATTCAGAGTTCTGTTCATGCGCTCTGCTACACCATTATGTTGCGGTGTCTTGGGAACTGTTGTCTCCATCTTGATCCCATTGTTTGCACAGAAATCTCTGAATCTACTGTCTCTGTACTCTCCTCCATTGTCAGACCTCAACCGCTTGACTTTCAAACCAGTCTCATTTTCCACCATGGCCTTCCATTTTCTGAAGATATCGAAGACTTCTGATTTCTTCTTCAGAAAATAAACCCACACCTTCCTTGTTGAATCATCGATGAAGGTGACATAATATAGTGAGCCTGCAAGAGATGGAACTGGGGATGGTCCCCATACATCAGTATGAACCAATTCTAACCTTTCTGCCTTGGGTGTCTTGCCAATCTTTGCAAAACTGACTTTCTTTTGTTTGCCAAAGATGCAATCCTCGCATAGTCCGACATCTACATTTTTTAGATCCGGCAGCTTCCCTTTTGACAAAAGTGTCTTCATCCCTTTCTCGCTCATATGGCCAAGCCTTTGGTGCCATAGGTTTGATTTTCCATCAGCATCTGCTACTGCAATGATATTCTCTAAATTTGAGGTTACATAGAGAGTACCAGTCTTCTTACCACGAGCAATGACGAGTGCTATTTTGGTAATCTTCCATTCACAGCCTGAAAAGGTTGTGCTATATCCTTCTCCATCAAGCTGTCCAACAGAAATCAGATTTCTTTTGAGGCCAGGAATATGTCTCACTCCTGTCAGCTTCCAGGTGGTCTGGTTTGGCAACTTTAGTCGGATGTCTCCTTTTCCGACGATCTTTAAGGTTTCATCATCAGCAAGATGAACCTTCCCAAAATCACCACTGACATAGTTCTCCATGATTTCTTGGCATGGGGTGGAGTGGAAAGATGCCCCTGAATCCAAGATCCATGATTCAATCAGACTGTTGACGCTTAGAATCATGGCATCACCTGTCTCCTCTGTCACGTTGGCAGATTCCTGTGCACCGGTATCTTTCTTCAGTGCTCGGCAATCTCTTTTAAAGTGACCTTTCTTGCCACAATTATAACAGGTAAAATCTTTCTTTCCCGTTCTAGATTTTTCCCGTCTGGATTTTGATCTGCCACGATTTGAATATCTTTCTGAAGTTCTTCCTCTAGACTCCGTGTGCAAGGCTGAGGAGGTTGATGCTTCACCCGATTCTCTCCGTCGAATTTCTTCACTCAGTACCAGATCCCGAACATCGTCGAATTTTAATTTGCTGTTTCCCGACGAACTGCTGACTGCTGTAACAGTAGCATTCCAACTGTCTGGTAGAGATGATAAGAGAATTAAAGCTCGAACTTCATCATCGAACTCAATTTCCACTGAACTCAACTGGGTTGTGATTGTGTTGAGTTCATTTAGGTGTTGTGCCACCGATGCCCCTTCCGTCATCCGCAAATTGAATAATCGCCTCATCAAATGAACTTTGTTTGAGGCCGATGGTTTCTCATACATACTGGAGAGAGCCGCCATAAGACCCGCCGTGGTCTTTTCCTTTGCTATGTTGAAAGCAACATTTCGGGACAACGTCAGTCGGATGACTCCGAGGGCTTGTCGGTCGAGAAGAGCGCAGTCTTCATTCTTCATGCCCTCTGGTTGCTTTCCTGAGAGAGGTTGATAAAGATTTTTCTGGTACAGAAAATCTTCAATCTGCATCTTCCAAAAGCCAAAGTCCGCACCATCGAACTTTTCAATTTTCACCTTCCCTTCGTCTGCAGCCATCGCTTCCACTCGAATCTGGCTTCTTTTTGATCGTTTCTGACAATTCTTGCGAACCACCGTGTATTAGAACACCACCGTCGACAAACTCGTATCGCCGACCGAAATTTCACTATTCACGAAATTCACTATTCACATGAATAGTAATGAATAGTAACCTCACAGAAAAATTGACAAAATTCACAACCAAAAGCTCTGATTACCAGTTGATAGGAAAATAAACCGAGTACAAGTAATTTCCCTATAACCAGATTAGTGAGAATGTGAAATAAAAGCGGAAAAATAATACCCGAAAATTGATAACGGAGTTCAGCCAATTGTGTTTACGTCTCCGGGCTGCTGTAGATCTTTTACTAAGAGAGAAAATTTACAGGTGTTTACAAAACACTCACTACTCACAAGAAAGCTCTCTAGTATAGGAAGAAAGAAATGTTTTGGGATGATTTTGAAGCTAAATGGGTAAGGGTATTTATAGTAGAAACTTAGGGACTAATCTTTGAAAATACCCTAAAGTGCAATGACTAAAGTGAATTTACCCATTCATATTTTCAACAAACATCTACCAAAATTTTACCAAACTTTGAAAAACATTTTTCAAAGAAACATTTACCAAACTTTGAAAAAACATTTTCCAAAGTTGGTTGCCAAACTTTGAAACTTTTAACAAAAGGAACCCCAAGATATTTCCCCAAATCATCAATAAGAGATAATTAGAACTCAATACTGATAAAAGTCCTCATGTTGTCCTCAACATTCTTTGAAAATAAGATACTCGTTTTGCCAGATTAACCTTTTGGCCAGAACTCAAACAAAACTCTTGCAGAATCCGTTGAATGACCTCCAATTGAGAAATTGAAGCTTCCACGAAAAGTACCAGATCATCAGCCAAAAAAAGTGGGAAATCGACAGACCACTCTGATTAAGCCGTATGGGTTTTCAACTGCCGTCGGCTACTGCCTGTTGAATTGCGTGAGCCAACCTCTCCATACAGAGGACAAACAGGTAAGGAGATAACAGATCTCCTTGTCTAACTCCTCTAGTCGGCTTGAAACTATCAGTTTTATGGCCATTCAGAGAACCTGAGTGGAAACCATAGTCACACAGCCCATAATCAGTCTCCGTAAGCCATCCAGACAACCAATGTAACATCCCAAACATCGGGTTAGTGACCAAATTGTGAGATTTTAGGATTCAGTGACTAAATTAGATAAATGAAAAAGTTCAAGGACTTAATTCAAATATTTTATGTAGGATGAATATCAAAGGAAGGAAAACTGGAAGGGCAAAAAGGTATTTTAACAAGGAAATGAATTAAAAATTTAGCCATGGGATGTGGAAAGAGAGGGTTAGGGGATTAATCTCTAGAAATTACTCTATTCTTCATTCTCCTCTCTGTCTTCTTCTCCGTGAGCTATTGAAGAAGGTAAGAATTCCTTTAGTTGAATAATTATGGTAAATTAGATATGCTTTAGATTCTTTAAAGGTTAGGAAAACTAAATGAAGGCTTAAAGTAGTTTAAAATCCAAAGGATAGCAAGTTATGGGGGATTGAAGGTATGAAGTTTTTAAGTGAAAATTTGAATAAGAACACTTAAATGAATTTAGAAGTTGGATTTGACTTGTCATGGGTGTGAATAAGAAGTAATAAGTGTTAAAACTGAGTTTGGATTATGTTGAAAAATTGGTAAGATTCTTAGTTTCAAGAATTTGAATGAGATATTAAAGGTGTTAAGGTGTAAGAATGATAAAAGATAGTCAAAATGACTGTAGTTGAGATTGGTGGTAGGAAAGGTACTTTAAATATGGAAATTAAGTGAAGTGTTGATGATTTTTGGGTGAAAGAAGCTTGTTCTGGGTAGGGGGTATCGATACCAGATGAGTTGGTATCGATACTACACATCTATTATAGGTTATAATGTTGTGTAGGTATCGGTACTGCATGAACAATACTGATACAGTAAGACCATTTTAGAAAAAATCTTTATGAGGTATCGATACCGAAAGGGTAGTATCGATACCATAGGTATCGATACCAGAAGGCGTGTATCAGTACCTAGAAACATCGAATCGAATTTGGGTACCGATACTCAGGTACAGTATCAATACCATTATAAGGGAAATATTGGTACTGTTACTTGGATACCGATACTACTTAATAAGGAAAATATGAATTATGTCCATTAAATGGTTTAAGTTATTAAGATTGAGTTATATGTTTAGGATTCTGATGATTGTTTTGGAAATCATATTTATGTAGATACCGAGCATAAATGAGTTTCGGAACAATTGACGAGTATGATCGATTGAGGGAAAGACAAAGAAATATAGGTGAGTGCAATGATTATGTTATGATATGGAAATTAGACTTGTGATAAGTCTAGTTCCAACACAGGTAATACATGATTGCATTACATGATACGATACATTACATGAACTCCTATGATATGCATTATATGACAATGATCTATGTGAATACGTATGAGAAGTTTACATAAGCAATGTGATAAAAGGTAAGAAATTATATGTCTATGAGATATAAACTTTGTGAATTTTGAAAAGCCCATGTTATGTAGACGAGAGCTATAGGTATAATTGGCATGCCAAGAGTTAAGGGTCTACGTGGTCCTTCGGGACATATATGTAATCCTTTGGAACATATATGCGGTCCTTTGAGACACATATTTGGTCATTTGGAATATGTATATGGTTCTTATGGACATTTATATGTGGTCCTTATGGACATTTTATATGGTACTTCGGTGCATTTCTACGCTGCACTTAGGTGCAATCATACGTGGCACTTCGGTGCATTTATACGAGCTGTGGTGATAGCATTTGTGCACAACCTCAATGCACTCACATACCTTAGGTTCTCAGTATAGTATCATGGACTAATGAAAGAATTAATATGAAATCATATTTGTTACCTTAATTAGCTTATGTGTGAAATGCATTATTATGTAAGTTGCATTGCATGAATATATGAATGTATTGTACTTCATTTCATTATAGTATTATTACATATTATGCCTCACTAAGTCGATGACTTAGCGTGTGAGTGTTTCACAAGTAAGATTCAAGAAGTTAGACGAGCAAGGATAGGCAGTTGGGATAGCATCATTCTTGCGGATATCAAATCAGAAGCAACTTAAACAGTAGGTCATTTTGCTATGAAAGTAATGTTGACATGTAATCAAAAGTTTAAGTTGTATATTCTCTGATTATTTTTGTAAGTTTTTGTATTAAACTGATGTAAATTATGAGATTTTATAATATAAGTTTTAAATTCTCTATTATTTTGTACAAATATATGGTTTTAAAAAGGTAATGTGACATCTCGGATTTGTATCCGGTTGGTACGGGTTGGGGTGTTACAACCGATGTCCATCAAGGTATCCTCGATAAAGCTCCATTACAATTTGTCGCAAGCTTTCTCTAGGTCTATTTTAATTGCCATTCACCCCACTTTTCCAAATTTATTTTGCATCGAATGGATCACCTCTTGGCCACGATTGCATTATCCGTGATATTCCTCCCCGACACAAAGCTAGTTTGATTCACTGACACCCAATCATGCATAAAAACTTTGAGACGGTTCATAATCACTTTAGTTATAATCTTGCAAAGGATGATGCATGAACTAATAGGACGAAATTGTGCAAAACTCTCCAGACTCTGTGTTTTTGGGATAAGAGTAAGCAAGGTACGATTAAGCTCCTCATTAATTGCCTATTAGTGAAAGAACCACACACTAACTGACAAACACCACCACCAACCACATTTCAATTCTTATGAAAGAAAAACACGTGGAACCCATCCACCCTTGGAGCCTTATCTGGGTCCATAGTGAATAGTGCTTGCTTAATTTCATTAAAAAATACTAGAGCCGAAAGGATATCATGCACGTCCCCTTGAGGTATAGTAAACCAACCCCGAAAGAAATATCTCACTCCCTCGAACTTTCACTTGTAAACAACGCAACATAAAATCGAACTGCTCCCCCCTTAAGTTCCTCTTGGTCCATATGCCATAGCCCATCCTCCAATTTAAGCCTCCCAATCGTGTTCTGTCTTCGACATAATTTACTGGTAGCATGAAAAAACCTTGTATTTCTATCACCATTCACAAACCAGTTACATCGAGACTTCTAAAACCACAAACTCTCCTATTGGCCGAGTACAATCTCCAATTCATTCCTCAACCAAACTTCGAGCTCCGACAAAAAATCAGAATTTTTATTCATCACAGCCCTCTCAATTCCTCTTAATCGAGTCAAAAGCACACGCTTCCGTTTACCAATCGACCCAAACACCGTTTTATTCCAATATGCTTTGTAAAGAACGAAGATTAAATTCAACATCACCATTCTCTACCTAGCCAGTTTCTAGTACCCGATCAAAACCCTGATGATCCTGCCATGAAAAAATAAAATGAAATTGGAGCTCAAGATTTTGATTCCTCACTCTCTAAGTTCTCAGAAAAAGAGGACAATGACCGGACCCAAGACAATCAAGGTGAAACACCCCTGAATCTGAAAAGAAGCTCAAACATCTATCCAGTCTCTGATACAATGAGCCACGTGCCCAAGTGAACTTCGATCACTGGAAGGGAACCTCGTCGATTGCATTATAAAATTTGCAAAACCCCGGCTAGTACCATTTCGAGTGACCATACGTCCTCGACGTTCATTACGCCTTAAAATAACATTAAAATCATCGCCAAGAATCCACTTCTTATCCGACCCCGGATTTAATCTCTCTAACAGACCCCAAACTTCATTCCTAACAAAAATATGCAAACTAGCATAAACAGCAGTAACAAAAAAGGCTCAGTCCATACCTCCCCTTTGGATACACTAATGAAGAAACTGATTTGAAATGCTCAGAATAGAGACACATAAATCATCTGACCAAAAAGGCCAAATTCCCCCACTAAAACCTTGAGCTTCAACCTGGAATGAGTTAGAATACCCCAACCGTCGGATCACTTCATCAGCTCTACATATTCTCACTCTTGTTTCCAAAAGAACAACAAACCAAGATGGAACTCCTTAACTAACCGTTTAAAATAACATGGACAGGACGAGCTCCCAACGCCCTGACAATTCCAAAACAAGCAATCAAACATTAAAAACATTTAAAGCTTGTGGACCTCCTTCGGTCACATCTTCGCTTGGTACACTGGTACCCCTCTGATTTTTTTTATGGTCCGACAACATAACCACCACTCTCTTCAATAACTGATCCCACATCCCGCTTATCGCCTGGATTACCTAGCACCCTGGCCAGTTTGTTCGAAGCTGATTGAACCCAATCCGCCAGCAGAGGACGGCCAGAAGATTTGTGATTCGTTAACTTCTTCACCCTGAACCCCTTCGAAACCTCATCTCGACCCC